CGCGCATAAAGCACCAAATTAAGACTGGTACAGCATGTCACAAAAAAGATTTACAGGTTTTTTTTGTTTTTTTTTTTACCGCAATAATAATAAACTACGCTTTGCCTAACGCTCATTCTCCGCCCATAGGTAGCGCTAGGTCACAACGAGATGCCAAAGTTTCATCCGGAACGGACACCTTATTCAAAAGTTATAAGTGATTTTCTGAAAATTTCAATGGGAAAATGGAGCCCATTTTGACCGTTTTCGGTTTCTAGTGCCATAGAGCCCCATGTATGCGAAAACTCCGTCGGCCGTCATTTTCCAATTGAACTTTTCAGAAAATCACTTATAACTTTTGAATAAGGTATAGGATCGGGCTTAAACTTTGACATCTGGTTGTGACCTCAAGCGCTACTTTTCGGCGAAAAATGAGCGTCCGGCGATGCCTAATTTATTCTTGCAATTAAAACAAAAAAAAATTTTGTGACACTTTGTGCATTGCTTAAACTATGTGCAAAAGCTATCCACAGCCCCAGAATCTTTGCCTGGCCAGTCATTGCATTTATCAATGAATTCGCACTAAAATTAATTCTTATCATTTATTGCTGTGAGTGAATTATTAGTATTTTTTTATTATGATTCCCGCACCAGTCCTACTTTGGGTTTACCAAACTCAACATATAAACCTGACTGTCATTTTTTGTGCTTTCCAGCCTCGTGGTTCCGGTCAAAATAAACACCCAGCTACATAAGTGAGACACCTGACCGCCCAAAAAGCAGTTCCTTTGTTTTGATTTTTGAGGTAGTTAATTCCTCAAGCTAGAACTTTGGAAACCTAAGTCTATCACGTCATCACGTTTTCCTGGAAATCCACAAAGAGCCAAACACATGCACGACAAAAGGGCCGGCCCGTCATATTGCCACCTGCAGAGCAGAGACAGCAACACTCGGTCATGGACTTCTAGAAGATTCGTGTTCATTCTTGCACCAGACGTAACTTTCGCCCTACTTTCTTCTTGAAAATGCCAGTTCATCATCGCCCTCGCTCCGAGCGCACGACGCTCGAATCTTTTTTGCCGAACTTCCGAGATAGTGACACACTGTAGATAATAGATAAGCAGCTGCCCGCGACCTTGGGCCCTAAACTCGTCAGATACAAAGTTGTAGCCGAAAGTTCGTGGAGCGCGCCGATTGGATGTCGACGAGAAAAACGCGAAGTCATTGTCGTGATTGTCCAATCGGCGCGCCCCGTCAACTTTGCCTCCAAGTTTGTATTTGACGAGTTTAGGGCCCCTTGTCGAGTCAGTCTCGCTCTCGCTCCCTGTTGCGCTGCCGAATCGCCGCCTGCTTTTCTGCTGCCTCGACGCTGTTTCTTTACTTTTTAGTTTGGCACAGTTCACAGATTAAACCTTTATTTTTCAGTTCACTGTTCGTTCCCTCGCCACCTTTATTCGAGGCAATATAAATATCATCACATTAAAATATGTGTAGTTGGCCTCTTAAATCTCCGATGACGGCGCACAGGCAATTTATATTTTTCAACGCATCAGTGTCTCGCCATTTGGCTCTGAACGATTTTCGCGTTTTGTTCTGCCCACATTTGCTGAAGACGTGAGCTCGGAGCGCAGGCAACTGGCCCCCTTGCACGAGAACTGGCGCAGCCGTGCACGTTCCAAAGAAAGCTCGTGCAGAGAAAATCAAGCAAGGTACCAGGGATGTCAAATTCAGGATATAGAAAAATACCCCACTGTATCGAAGCGCCACCACACATGATTTCTCGCATTGATGCACAGGCCTGGAAGGCGATCTTACCGCCATCTGTTGGTTCAGAACCACACTAACCAAGGGTGGGGTTGCACCTTAAAAGCTGGGAGACAGACAAATCACAAACACGCATACTAAAAACGCTAGACGACGGCAAATGCATAGTACTTTATGCGGTGTGCAAGTTTCTTCTGCTCTGCAGGCGAGAATAGGGAGCTCCGAAACTGAGCTTGCTCCAGTAACGTTGGGCAGGAGTGGGTGATACATTGGAAGTTGGCACACTGATATCTGAATGGCATACAAATAAAATATACAAAACAACAAAATTCTCTTTCTATACAATCAATGCACGAAACCTTAACCCACTCCCTTTTTAACATTTTACATTGTAACACACATATAAAATATTGAGAACTTTGAACTTCATAATTAAAGAGTAATCGAAAACATTTTTAGCACTGAAGAATGATCTCTACACCTTTTTCAAAAGAGAGAATGAATCAATGTTCACAACATCACCGGTAAGACTGTTCCATAAAGCAATTGTATGCACAAAAAAAAGATTGTTTATAGCTATTTATTTGTTAATTAATGTGGGCTACGGTCTTTGAGTGATGCAGATGTTCGGAGCAGAAGCCTCTTGGTTTTAAATATGTTGAGCTATCAATTTTTATACTGTTCTTGAAAATCTGAAAGAACAATTTGACCCGTTGGCACGTTCTTCTGTTTGCCGGAGGATTTATATTGGCTCTCGTTTTAAATCCCGTGACAGACGTGGTTCGTCTGAAATATGAAAATATTATGGGCACCTCTCGTGATTGGACATCTTCCCGTTCTTTGAGCATAGAGCTCTGCCATGGGCTTCACACTGCAGAGCATATTATAAAACAGGTCTAATGTTTGATTTATATGGAAGAATTTTCACAGAAGGAGGAGATTTGCCAAGCGTTTTTCTCAGATACCACAATTGGTTTGTTGCACCCTTCTTACTCCACATGCTTTTTTCACCTTAGTTCACTCGATAAAGTCACTCCCAAATATTTAGAACTGTCAACTTTTGTCAGCTGCGCGCCGTCAACCTCATAACCAAAGTTTAATACATTTTTTTTGTTGAAATATGGATGTCCTGAGTTTTCCTGATATTAACTTTATGTTTTTCACATGACACCAAGACGCGATGCTAGCCAATACATCCCTCACTTTTATGTAGTCCTGTATTGTAGAAACTGGAGTGCAAATAACGCAGTCACCGGCAAACATTCTTAACTTAATTGGAGCATCAATGGTGGATTGAAACAAGTTGTTAACATAGACCAAAAAAAGCAGAGGCCACAGGACGGAACGTTTGGTATGCCGGAATAAACATCCAATAATCCTGAAAAGGTACCATATACATCCACGAAGTGTTAGCGGTTTGAAAGGTGTGCATTAACCCATCCAGTCACACATGAGGGAACTTCGAGGTCGATTAAGGTCTTAATTAGTCTATGGTGAGGTACTCGGTCAAACGCAGGTCAATGAACACTGCATCAACCTGCATACGGCTATTAACGTAAGTGGATAATTCATGATAAAATTCAATGAAGTGGGTTACCGCTCACAGGCCGCTGCGGAAACCATGTTGGTTGGGGTTTAGAATATTATGCAGTTCTAGGAAAGAAACATTTGCTTATTTTCTAGAACGCTTGTTTACCCTCAAAATGCACGCACGTGCCCCCCCCCCCCCCCCCCCCTTTTCCCGACCCCTTTCCGACCTTGACCAATGACGGCACAAGCGTATGGCTGGTTTGTCATCGCGCGTCTCCCCTACGTTTTCTGCATTGCCATTTGATCGGCGTTCCCCCCTTGCTTTTGGAGCACTTGATCGCCGCCGCCGTATTAGTTTAGCCGGTGATATCACTCGCGCAAAAACATGACGAACGCCGAACGCCGTGACATTGCGCTTTTGGTGCTGCTGGCACTAAAGTTCCTAGGTAAGAGCTACCTGCAAGTAGCGATATTCTTTGACTGCATGACGGTACAGATTTTAGGAAGCGAATAGCCAACCTGCAATGCTGTTTGGTTTGGCGTCATCTAGCGACTGAAGCAAGAAATATTGGGTACCCCTGGGAGTGGCGGCTGCATTGTTTAAACGTGAGCTATTACTCTGGTGGCGCCGCTGAGCCTAGTGTCTGAAGCAAGAAATACTGGGTATCCCAGGAAGCCGTGATCGCGTAACGTGCCAGTAGAACGGAAGCTACGGCCTTGGCGGGCCAATCGGAACGTGACTGCGTATCACCGGAGCGCGGCTCAACTTTGAAGAAGTATCAGACTTTTCGCTGCGTCATGCTCCAATATGTGTGCGTTGCGCTCGTATACGTCGCGCGTTTCGAAGCCTTCGGCACGCAGTGTGGGGCTTATCGTTCGCCGTTTGCCAAGTTACAACGAGACAGGGTATAACCGTGCGCTCTCGCCCTGCTGGCGCCGCCTGGCCGTTGCCGGTGCCTATAGCCGCGCACAGCAGAACAGAACTGAATGACGCCATTTTGTTCCAGCGGAACGTGCTTTGCCATTTATATTGGTTCTGGTTACTTGTGAAAAGAAGTATCAAAGGACTTTAATTAGGCCGCGTTGACTGCCAGCCACGTAGGCACTTTGCGCGGTCATGAATTTCTTTTGCCTGCGAAAAAGTGGTCACGGAACGGAAGTCAGATATCGCGAAACACCGAAACGCTGTCTTATCTTCCTTTCACATTGTTGAGTCAAGCCGATGCTTCGACCAGTCGTCCCTCCCACTTTCCATTTCACCCCTCACGCGCCCCTGCGTATCAGCTCGATTCTAAACTCGATTCAGCCTCCGTGGTCTTCCTTTCACAGTGGCAAAAATATGCTCTATCCTAACCGAAAATTAAGACAAGCAACAGACTGACAAGAAAAGCCTCAACTGCATCAACTATTTTTGTGCTATGTTTTGTAGCAAGTGTTCTGTAACGCTCCCTCTTTTTCTTTTTTCTCGTTTTTTTTTTCTGCGCGCGTGTGTGCGTGTGTATGTTCGTGTGGTCGTGTCAGGCCTGCGCTGCTACTCCCTACTCATTTCTTTCCTATTTTAATCATTATGTTTTTAGGTCTTAGATCATATCACTTCCAAGGTTTGGAGTAGCCGGCGTCATTTCAAGGCTGTGGAATTTTCCATAGCACCATCTATTCTACTTCTGTGCAGAGCACCAAACGACTTGACACCCGTGTTTACATCGCCGCTTCGGACCGCCCGCGGCATGCTTCCTCCGCAGCCATTCTACGCGCCAGTCTACAAGGTCCGTTGCTCTCAAGTTGGTAGCAGCGGCAGGCATTACAGCTGCAGACTCCTGCCGAAGCATCTGCACGCTAACCACGAAAGAAGACGGGTCCTCCTCGTCTTCAACGATTTCCCGGAGCCCGAGTGCAAGCACGACGAAATGACGGTAACCCTCAAGATCAACGATGCCAAGTTCTACGGCGTGCCTCTGAAGATGCTCCACATTACGGGTCATGTCTCTGCCACAGTGAACGACATCCGCATCAAGAGCTGCAGCGTACCTGACGGGTTGTGTGACGGGTACCTGACGGTTCACGTCGTCAACAAGACACCGGAGCACGAATTGGTTCGGTGGTGTGGGGACGATCATCTGAAGGGAATGGACAACGTGGCCTCTACACATGACTTAGTGAAGAAGGCGGTTGGGGATGAAAACACTGAGGACATAGTCGTGGACTTCATTACGCTGGCCCTCACCTGTCCCTTATCGAGGACTAGAATTAAGGTGCCGTGCCGCGGCCCCAGATGTTCCCACGTCCAGGCTTTCGACGCGATGGCCTACCTCGAAATGAACGAAAGCACCCTCCGGCCGTTGTGGCGCTGTCCAGTGTGCGATCAAAGTATCAAGGTAGAAGAGCTTAGGATCGACCTGTTTGCACTCGACCTTCTGGGTCGCATTGACTCTTCCTGCGGCGCCGTAAAACTTTTCCCGGGTGGCAGGTGGACGCCTGTAGTAAAACCTGTCGACGTTATCCTAATCGGCGATAGCCCTATAAAACCACCTGACGTCGACCGAAATCTTGACCTTTCGGTAATTGACCTGACATCGGACACTTCTTCGAATGAAGATGACTAAGTGGTATGGCAGATCCATCGTTCGTTTTATGTCCCTAAGAGCCTCCAAAACCTAAATATTTTAAAGAATGGTTTTTTCGCCTTTTTGTTTAAGGAGACCCTAAACGGCATCACTCAGTGATACCATCGTTTATGTATTTCTTGAGCGTTTTTTGAACTTGTATTTTTACGTTAGAATGTTTTGGTCTCTTTTTGTTTCAGCTACACAGAACGATTTTAGTTACAGTACGGTGCCTGCAACGCGCCTCCGACTTATGTGTTTACCGCGTCCCCAAAAAAGTGGTCCCTTGATTTTCACATGATAACGTCATATAAGTGTCATGCTGTCGCCGGCCGTGATCCCCGGCGTCGTAGCAGTGGTGCTGGATATGAACGATCGCTGTTGAGCGGCATGTCGCTCTCCAGCGCGACAGTCTACGGAAGGTTCGGCAGCCAGCAAATGAGGCGCCACGACGACAGCGACACTCACATTCGCTGGTGCTTTTCGCGAGAATTTCTACGACCAACCGCCAAGTTCCCGAGAGCATGACACTCCGGCTTTTGTGACGTCATTTGTTGCCACTTCGGGACCACTTTCGATGCATTGGAGGACTTTGACGCTAAACACACCACTCGGAGACGGGTTCCAGGCACCGTAGTTATAGTCGCTGACAAGATAAGAACGGCGGGGAGGTGTTTCAGATGTTGCCCCTTGAGCGCGACTTTCCCACCTTCGATAGCGCTTTGGCGTCTCGTAAGCTTGGAGCGTAAACGCTTATTCGAAGCACGACGGAAAGCAATGAGCGCATGACGGAGACCTTGTATCCAATAAATATACCCCTGCTGTTCTCGTTCTACAAGTGCTTACAGTGACGCTCGCTGACGATGATCATGAAGTACTATGTGGCGACTTTTTTGGCAGCCCATACCAATGAGTGTCCGACATTCCTGGTTGACTTTCTCCGTCAGACCGTAGCCTTGGAATAAAATGAGGCGCTACCGTAAATCGTCTAAGATTATGACGGGACCAAAAGGCACAAGCCTCGCATTGAGCGTAATAAGGTGCTGCGTGCTTGATACTGGCACGCTAATTACAAAGATTCCGCCTTTGCTCACACTAGGTCAAAGCACTGCGCGTGACCAGGAGCCAGATCCGCGTCAAGTGATATGCATGTGCTGTGCCAAGAGCATGCCTCACCGCAGCTGCTTGCTTCAGAGCCGCTTGCTGTATAAAAACATACGGAAGGACGCTTAAGTTTCGTCTTTAAGAGAGGAACGCGAAAGCTAAACGCATAAACACCCGCCCGTTCCCAAGTCGTGCAAGCGTACCTGCGAGGCGATTCCACTTTCGGCCCCCGCCGAGTACAGACGTGCGATGACAAGCTCCAACGGAGCGGCAACAACAGACTTTACTGGCCGCCGTATCCCTGCTAGTACTAAATCTGCTGATTATGCGATTGTTCTAGCTGCCTCCTGTGCCTAATGGATACATTGCGAATAATGCAGTATTTCTGCATTGCGAAAAACGAAACCGGCCCTATTGTATTGAAGACTTTAAAAAGGAACTAAGAAGATTGGCAGTCCTTCTAAACTTGGCGTCGGCAGGCGCCCATCAGATGATTCACGTATGGATACTCTGACTGCACTCACTAGCCGCGACGCAGCGTTTGGTGGGAGCAAAAAAGCGGCTGCGCGCAGGTGGGCGGTGCCTCATGTTTGACCCGGTCAACATAGTAGTGAAGGTCAAGCTCCACTGGGATCCTTACGATGTACCCAACTGCCAGGTACGTAGGGAACTGGAGCGCTTTGGTAAAGTTTCTGAGATCAGCAGAGACTACTTTTGTGAGAAAGGTTTCGAGCACCAGAATTGTCCGGATGGCACTCGAGGATGGAATCGCCGGGGACGACATCCCGCATAAAATTCGCGTCGAGGGCTGCAAGGTACTCGTTCTGGTGCCCGGTAGAGCCCCTCTTTGCCTTCGGTGTCAGCGCAAGGTACACGTCAGGAAAGAATGCCGTGTTCCCAGATGCCCGGAATGCCATCGTCAACCCAGGTAGCACAGCACGTCGAGATGACATCGAAATAAGGTCCCAGACGTCGGCGACATTGAGGTCCTTAATAGACCTTTTATCCACGTCAATGGTATGTCCATACGAGAGGTTCCGACAACGTCAAACGCGTGACGTCGTGACAACGTCATGAGTTTCACCTCGACGTCGTCAACATCAATCGACGTCTTGTCCGGGAAGTTTTTTGAACGTCTAGCACGAGACGTCCCTACAATTTCCTGAGATACACCTTGACGTCATCGACATTAATCGACGTCTGTTCTACATTTTCTTTAAGAAGTTATTTCAACGTCAAGTTTGACACTTCCGAACAATGTCCTGAGCAGCACCTTAACGTCATCGACATTAATCGACGTCAGTTCCACGTTTTCTTTCGGAAGTTCTTTGAACGTCAAGCACGAGACGTCCCAACAATATCCTGAGCAACACCTTGGCGTCATCGACATTTGTCAACGTCAGTTCTACGTTTTCTTTGGGAAGTTCTTTGAACGTCAAGCACGAAACGTCCCAACAATGTCCTGAGAAACACCTTGGCGTCATCGACATTAATCGACTCTGTTCTATATTTTCTTCGAGAAGTTATTTCAACGTCAAGTTTGAGACTTCTTAACAATGTCCTGAGCAACACCTTAACGTCATCGACATTAATCGACGTCAGTTCCACGTTTTCTTTGGGAAGTTCTTTGAACGTCAAGCACGAGACGTCCCAACAATGTCCTGAGCAACACCTTGGCATCATTGACATCAGTCGACGTTAGTTCTATGTTTCTTTGGGAAGTCTTTTCAACGTGAAGTACGAGACGTCCCAACAATGTCCTGAGCAACACCTTGGCGTCATCGACATTAATCGACGTCAGTTCTACGTTTTTTTTGGAAGTCAGTAAAGGTTCGTTCCTTGGTTGAATAGATGATGATTGCCCGGCGGTGTCTTGCGGGGCCAATCGTTTGATGAGCCTTGTTCGGTGGGTGATCAGAAGAGTGCGACAGATGCGGGAGGACTTCGTCTAAACTTTTTATTTAGACGTGACGGGCTATTGTACACAGTATATACCAAGCAAAGGGAATTCGCCGTCCTCCAAATTAGTCCAAGTCCAAGCCAGAAAGGGCTTCTCTCTCCCCTGTCACGGACTTCTGAAGACGCTGACCCCCTCACTCTAGGGCGAGGATCAACCAATCATTTCAAAGCTCTGCTGGAGCCACGTGATATCCAGCGTCCAATAGTTGGCAAGGGCGTCGATACACATTCGTTAACTTGCCAACGGACTACAGCCTACAGCTCCGTAACTTCGTCCGTGCATCCCGTTGCAGACATAGCGGCGCCTCTCCGGAACCCCCAGGTTGAAACCCAAGAAGCCCCGTAGAATGCGCAAGCCTCCAGATTCAAAATAAAAAACAACATCTCTTCCCGAGGGGTCATCCCGATGAGGGAGACACAGGAAGACGCTCTCCAGGGAGCCGCGTCGGCAGAAAGGCCCACGCGGTCCCCCGTTAGAAAAGCAAAACTACACAAAACGACCGGGGAGGGAGCATCATACACGCCGCCGGACAAGACGACCGTCGCCCGGCCGATCGAGAAACCAGCCGTCTTTTCCAGAACCCTTACACCTTCCCCCCAAGACTGTTTCTGGTCCTTCTTGGACCTGCTAAACAGTTAATCTAAACACACGCAAAAGAAATAAAACTAGATAACACTAATGTGAAGTTCTTCAGAACCGACTCAAAGCGCGCAAACATAATCGTAAGCTGACAATAAAACAAAACGCATAAAAAGCAACAGATTCTACTTTAACAAACCGGAATGCCCCAGTGCAAACATAAAAAGGGGCCAAAACGCGTGCGTGACATTCCAAAGGCTGTAAAACAACACACACACAAAGAGAAAAACAGCGTTACATTAGCATTGAACGTATTCACAACAGCAACGAGAAGAACGTCCTTTTGGGTACTCAAGTTCGACTCGCCAATTCACTTCACAGCCCCACAGCGCCCTGCGGCTCGGGTGAGGGGAACATTCACGTCTAACCGAGGCGGCATGGCATGATCACTCAGTCGACTCCCAACATAAATTGTTGAGCCCACACTACGCATCAGTATTTCCGTTACTGGTTCCCCTCCCATGCTGGGCTGTTACATTGTAGCGCTGAAGGGCCGAGGCCTACCTAGCCAACCCCACAAGTCAGTGCTTCGCTGTCTTCATCTCTTCCGACGTTCTGTTCTTCAACTTCACAAGGATAGGCCGCTGTACCTCCCTGTTGCACCTGGACCTTACCGCTCCTAGCTTTCAACAGTTCCCAATCTTCCCAGGCAAGCAAACAGTTCACCCCTTCCGCCAGCTGATTGGTGAGCGCGCACACTAAGTCGGCTTTAGTTGGATTTTCTACCGCCCCTGGACAGCTCAACCTTATTGGAAGTGTTGCAAGATTGGCATCAATGGCGTGGCCAAAAGCGGACACTAGCTTCACTGTGCCCGACGGTTCCCTCCAAGCTTGAGGTAGCAGGCTCTCCCGTACTACCGTCATTTCGGTACCCGTGTCGAGCACTTCTTCGGTGTGTACGTCGCCGCACTCCAGTTGAACCAATTGTAGCTTCGAGCGGCCCGTCTCCGAAATCGACCGCCTCACCTCAACCCGAGCGGTTAACACTCTGTCTGTCTGCCCTTTCGGTTCAGGGACATTTGCCAGCCCCTGAGGCACCTCACTACCCGAAGCGCGAGTGCAGTGCTTGGCAATGTGTCCCTGCTCATGACATACATGACACCTTACAGCTGCTCGACCCGAGTTCACGGGACCTTTGAACCCTGGCGAGCGCCCCGTCCCTGACTGTTCTGTTGGAACGTACACCTGTTTTGTGGCGCTCCCTTTCCCTTTTGCCTGCTCATAAGTCTGTAACACCCTCGCCACCTCGACCGGTTTTAACCAAGTCTCTCCCTCGCGAAGGCGAACATACTCCAGACCATCGGTACTCAGGCTCGCCTTAATCCGATCAGCAACCATGAGCTCCGGTACTGTCTCCTGCGTGTCCGCACCTCTCACCTGAAGGTAATACGTGAAGTAGGTTCGGACACGGGAGGCGAACTGAGCCCATGTTTCATCTTTTCTTTTGGCTGCACTGTCGAACCTGTCTAGGTACTCAGCTGGCGTGAGTTTCAGTTCGCTCAGCACCGCCCGTTTTACCGACTCGTAATCTAAACAATCGTCTTGCCCTAGACTGCGCAGCAGGTAGCGGACACGCTCCG